GGAAAAAAAAAAAAGGACACATCATCACTCAACGAAAGTAAACCGAAACCTGAGGAATATCAATATCGTTATCATCCTCGTCCTCGCACGCCACCACCACGTCCAGGTGGCCACGGCCCCGCGGCAGCTCCACCTTCGCCACATCCCTCGCCAGCTCAGCAACTTTCCGGTCCATGCGCTCCCTGTGGCGGGGGAACATGCTGTTGTACAAAAGACAGCTCCCGAACGAGATGCTGTACGCATTCAGGCCCTTATCGGCCAGCCACCGGAGAAGCTCACGGAGAGTCGGGTTTTCCCGGACGATCCAACGGTCCCACACGGTCCAGCTCATGTCGCGGTGCTTGAAGAGCTTTGGGGGCACGGGTTCGGCCATAGAGAAAAGCGGGAGTGCCAGGTTGGCGAACGTGTTGCGATAGTCTTCGACCTTGTGGTTATTGTCGATGGCTTTGTAGAGCTCGAGGCAGACGAGGCCGGTGGCCATGGCTGTGGAGGTGGCGATTGCGGGGATGATGCGTCCGGCTATGAATTTGGCTTTCAGCTTGTCGACTTCGGGGATGCTGTAGTTTCGGGCGCGCATGTTGGCGAGTGCGGATATTAGGTCCATGTGGTAGTTTGTGTCGTCATCCTGTGTGTGTGTTCGTGGGGAATATTTTGTAAGAAATGAGATATCGTGCACAATTCGGGCAAAACTGTATTTTAGTCCTGAATTTTATTTTTAAATTTCCAACATTTTGCCTTTTGGTCATATGATTTTATATTTTGACAGTCCTTTTGAGTACTGAAATTGCAACTAATTTCCAAATTTCCAAATTTTTTATTAGCAATTTAAGTCATGTAATTTAAAATTTTGTTGCAAAATATTAAATCACAAGACCAAAAAGGCGAAAAGTTGGAACCTTTGGGACTAAATGCATTTTTTGTGGCGTTAAACCAACAAGACTAAAAATGCATTTTTGCCTGCACATTCATTGTTGAACGGGACCGAATAAATGCAACAATGAATACCCAATTGAGAGATGGTAGTGAAAATTTATTGGGACAAAAGATAAGGATCAATTATTGGATCAAGTTAGGGGCAAGTTACAGTGACAAAAGAAGACAGTACCTTTTCAAACTGAATTGGTTTCATCATGAACTTTGCTGCCAAAGTCTCCCTACATTTTTCCAGCTTCGCAATTAATTCGTCAATAACAGCGGCATCATCCATAGAAGAAGTAGCAAGACTAGTAGCTTTTTCATCAGTAACAATTTTGACATCTTTTTTCGGTTGGAAATCAGGTACAATGACATTATCAACAGCCTCAGCTAGTTTCATAGGGCTCTTTGCCCAGTCAGGTACGGGAATGCCAAATGTCTCGGCCCGCAAAATAGACCCAGCCATAACAAAATGAAGATGGCTAGGATCGGTGTTAGAGAATTGCAGTGGACGAGGAAAACGCTTCGGGGCTGACCAGAAAGGTGCACCAGTACTGGTTGCAGCATCTTCCGGGAAGGTGAATGTCAACTGCTTCACCCGGTTTGCAAAATAATCCTCAAACCTGCAAATCAGCAACAATACAGAATTAGAAAGACATAAAATAAATAAATAAATAAAGTTGTTAAGGGTTTGTTTGTATAGAAAATAACTCAATTCATACTCAAAATCTAACTCAACTTCACTATCTTCAATATTATAAATATAATTAAATAATATCAATCAACAATTCTTACATATCACATCAATTTTATTCACTATTCATCCACTCACATAATTTAACTAACCATCATTTCATATCATCTCTCTCATACTTTTACATCAAACCAACTTTAATTATTTTAATATAAATTCAAAATCCCACTAACAACTAACCATACTACTTTTTTCAAAATTAACTATGATTAACTAAAAAAACTCGTTTTGAGCGGGTATATTAGTATCCAAGCACGCCCTAAGCAAGCAATAAATAAAGCATATGATTGATTATAATATAAAGAATTACTTTAAGCGAGCCCACGTAATGCAATCTTGGAATGATTCGCATCGCTCCCTGTCAAGGCACTCAATTACGCGTTCCAGGTTGTCTCGAGCTTGAGCATCCCCAGCGTTTCTCATAGCAGATGCATATTCAACAGGATTAGAAAGATAGGCATTTACTTCAGCAGGTGTTTTTTCGAGCAAGCCCTCAAACTCTGATCGGGCCCACGTCAAGCAATGATCGATATTGTGAGGGAAGGAGTGGACAGTACACATCGGTGCTTGTTTCTCAGGGGGGTCTCGAGAAGCACCGTAATTTTCTGTTAGATGAGGTATGACCATTTGGGTATTGCACTTGGCACCTAACGTTCCAGATTCGAGAAGGGGTTTTTGGAAGTACAAGCATCTTTGGTCGACATAAAGCCTTGCATTTACATTGTCGAGGGCATTGATCACAACACTGAGATTCTCCCAGAAGGCATCATCGAAAACAGTCTCTGTCTCGGGGCCCACCCGATTCTGCAAAGCTTCGATGTGGAAATGAGGGTTTATTGATAAAGCAGCAGAAGCAGCAACAGTGGATTTCGGCTGCCCAATGTTCCAGTCTCGAAAGAGGAATTGCCTGCTGAGGTTACTCTTTTCGATTACATCATCGTCAGTGATGGTTAATTTCCCTTGTTTACCGCATGAAACTCCCATAAGAGCTAGATTTTTCAGAAACTCACAGCCAAGGGCACCAGATCCAACAACAAAAACCTTTGCATCTTCAAGTTTCTTTTGAAGCTTAGACCCAAAGACTGAAATCTGGGCATCGTAACGGCTATTTAAAGGTCTGAAATCACTGGGGTCTGATATCTCAGTAGGAAGCGATTCTATGGAGTCAAAGTAGAAGAACTGCACAAACATGATAAAAGAAAAGATTTAGTGTTACATCATTTCAGCAGCAATCTTACGATAGTTCATGTAAAGTCAACTTATGGCAGAATAGCTTGAGCTGTCGTACAAGAACTAAAGAACCAGATGATTCACTTTGGCCAAGTTCACCAAGGAAAAAGAACATATAATTGAATGAACAGATTCATATGTTACACAAAAAAATCATGAAAAGCACAATGACACATATACAGCAGGTGAACCAGCAAATTATGCCCTGCTACCTTCAGCCATAAATGTGGCCACATACAAATCAGATACGTTCCATGAGCATCCAGGAAAGAAACAATCCTAGCAATTTGATCCCTTTTCCCAGCAAATATGGTACCCAACTATGACCATTAGAATATTCTAACAATTTCACAAACTCAAATTTTGTAATACACCTGTGACGAAAATCAAACAAAAGTAACATAGCCACCACCAATAACCACTACACTAAGTGCCGCACAACCACCAAAATGCAGGAAAATACAATACGAAAAATAGCATAAATAAAATGAAGTGACGAAATTTATTAATACAAGAAACGATAATCACCTGAAATAGGGGATGGAACTTTCCAGAGCATGCTTTCACAACCTCCTGCCCCACAATGCCACCAAACATGGCAGCCATAGGATTCAGCACAGCTCGGGCACCAAAAGCAAAGTGTCGCAGGAGTTTTGGATTGATATCCAGTTTCCCATCACCTAAGCTCTCATTCATATCACTGGTTACTGATATCAACCTTTGAGCATCCTCTTCAGAACCAGCAACTGGGAAACGTCCCATTTCAGACACAAAGTTATCTAGTGCTTGGAACGCCAAATGCAAGAGAGGCGGCCTGTCAAACTTGGAGAAATCGGAAAGAAGGAAATCACCAGGATCTTTGATTGCTTCCTTCAGTGGCTTAAAGTTCAAAACCTTAGGCTGCTTTACCTGAGTCACAATACCACCTCTTTCATACCTACCAAAATTAGTTGTATCTTCCTCAAGAGTGAAGGAATAAGGACGAGCATTTTTTATTTTTCTTGTCTTTCCATCATTGAGTTCAGTCATTCCTCGAATTTCAGAGAACACGACTAAGTCGCCATCCTGGAACTCCAGTCTTTCATCATCCACGCATCCCACAAGAGAAGGGTTATCATTGCTAATGGATGCAATAATACCTGTATGGGGTTCCTCACCATCGACATCAAAGACAGTGAACTCAGGTCCAAAATCACAGAAGACACTACCAAAAAGGCCTCTCACTTCTGTCTTGATGAATGCAATAGGAGGCTGATGATTGTGGCAGAATTCATTGAACTCAATGGCACGCTTTAAATCGATGTCAGTAAATACCACAGCCTGCATTTGTAATGGTTATACAGATAAGTAACACCTGAAACATCCACCAAATGCAGGCAATACCTAAAGCACAGCAAAAACAGAATCCGGGCTACCTACAAATACATGTAAGCAACCACATACACCTAAACTGATGAAATAAATCATAAACAGGGTAAATGTTGAAAATGCATAATAGTTAAATCATCAGAGCTAGGATATAGCCATGGATATTCCAGTAGACACCGCTGCTCTAACTGAGATATAGCCACTACTTGGTATATAGCCATGGACATTCCAGTTGACCCGAGTGCGTAAGAGTATTAATCTATTATTACCATTATTGCACATTAAATCTCAGATGTTATAGGGCTAACCGGATCCAAAAAAATCAGTAAGCAAAATTTTGGTGTTAACAAGATATCTGACATTTAGGGTTACATATATGTTAAAGGAGCACTTTTGTATGATTGGATGTGTTATTAACTATTAAGACAAGATGAATAGAAAAATGGCTTAAAACAATTGATCTTTGCAACGCAAGACTATATGGTATTCTCAGAAGGTTATTTACCGAGCATGACAACACTAGGACACCATTGGTTTTGGGACTTCTCATATATTGTGTTGTTTTATGAATAACATATATATTGCATTTAGCAAAACAAAACTGAAATGATCTTAACACTCATTTTCGTATTCTGAAGAAAAGATAAAAAATAAAAGTACATGTACATAACAGTTAAGCTAAGTGGATGGTGCAGCCCAAATATGAAGGCATGTCTAATTAAGAATATTTTCTGAGAATGAAAAAAATTAGCAGAAGAATAACGTAGAATTCAAACAATTTGTCAAGTACGGAATATGGATGCATCATGAGCAAGCATAAATTCACACCAAGGCGTATTCATCATTCATCGCATCAAATATAATTAACTCTGCATACAGTATACTAGTAAGTAGGGTACAATACACTAATATCTCAGTTGTTACTACTATAAAGGGCAAAGGGTAGAAAACTGGGAAAAGTTCACATATACACACGCGCAAACACACACAAAAAGAGAGAGACGAGAAGTTCCAATTTGCAAATTCGAGTCAAAGGAGCACATTGTGAAAGATTACCTGGAAATCAGAAAGTTGTTCTACACTCAATTTTGTAGTCAAAGTGGAGATAGCCACAGCATTATTGAGTTCTTGTAGCTTCTGAATGGAAGCGAGTGCCCTGTTCTTACCCAAATCCTTTTCCGAGAAAACAAAGTTACTGGATAAATCCCAAAGTTCAACTGTGCCTTCATCATGCAGTGTCACAGACTTCACGCCGGCAAGAATAAGGTTCTTCGCTGCACGTTACAAAATCAAGATATGATAACCATAACCCTTATGAGTAAAAAGTTCCAACCCAGTTTACTCAGAACATATTTACGTTCATGCTGGAATCAATGTTGTAAACCAAAACTAAATACTCATAGCAAAACTAGAACAAATAACACCAGCAATAGACACCAAAGGTTAAACCAAAATGAAATCAAACCAGCAACAGAATTTCATCAGACCCATAATACTTCAGACTTCAGTACCCAAGAGAAGCTGTAACCCAAAGTCCAACAAAAATTGAATTAGAGGCTCAACCGGTAACAGGACAAATGCAAGCAGAACAAGTCCAAACGGAATATAATCCGCTCTTTCAACAATCCCACCTCATCAAGGGCGTCAAAATTAACAAAAATTAGCCCACATAACATAGTAAAGTTGACAGCATTAAGATCTGATAACTTGCACACACATATTCATCATATCAGAGATGGTAAGCATCATTCTAAAGAATTGTAGCTGATACTGGAAACATCATATATGATATACCAATCTCAGCCCCAAGGCCCTGCATTCCAGACACAAGAACATTGGATGCGAAGAGCCGCCGCATAGTCTCTCGCCCATACACTGCAAGCTGCCGGCTGTGCAGATCTTCATCGATATCATTGGGTTTCCCATCATCAAACGCCATTTCTGTGATCGTCGGTTCCTCCAAACTTCCAGTGCCTTTACTGTTACTATTCAGCTCGTCAGTACTGTTGGTGGAGGAGAAACAGTCGCGCTGCTTCTTGAGTAGGATCTCAGAATCTGGATCGTTAACAGCCTCGCCTTCACCTTGTCTCTTTATAGGAAGCATATAGTGAAAAAATCTGCAAAAAAACGCCCATCCGATTCCCATCCAAAAACACCACAATCAGCACGAAAGTGTACAAAAGAGATCAGCAGCTCTATCAACACTGTGATTGCGATGAAAAGCGATGACAAATATAAAACAAAAAACCATGTTCTAGAGAAATGCGCCACTGTTAAATGAATCCATCTGAAAGCGTCTGAAGATTAAAAGGTGCAACGATTCTATAGATAACAGATTAAGTAGGCAGAGAACTTACCGATTACAGCTGCGGAGAGGAAGGAATGAAACACGACAAAATGTTCGGGAGAGCGATGAGAGATCGAGCGAGGAGAAGATGAGAAATGTTGAAAACACGAAGAAGATGGGCTTTTAAGAACAAAGGCTTGGAGGATAATTTTTCGTGAAAAGTGAAAATGTGGTTTTGGGGTTTTGCAAGTTAAAGTTATCTCCAATCCTAGTGTGTCAAAAAATGTATTACAGGGTCTGATGAAGAGATTGGCTTGGCCGCCGATTACAATAGAGGATAGTTTGACATCGGTTGTGATAGCTGGTTTAACCAGTACTTTTTCACCACGTACGCAATGCCAATATTATGCCTATTAAACAATATAAAAAAGTTATTATATATACACTCACTCGATATAATACAAAATTATTATTTTTAAAAATAATACAAGAAATATTTCCGTATCATTGAATTACATACAAACCTGGATACTGAATTACATACAAACGTGAAACGTCTTCTAATCTTTAGCATATTGTCTGTTCTCCTCGAGAGATATGGACTTTTAGTATCACATCCCTATCGTCTTTTTCGATAAACTGACGTCTAAAGGGAAGTGGACTACTGCATTGGTGGCAGCGGAGTTGTTAGGAACAACGGGACGACAACTATTTGCGAGGGGTCGTCGGCTGTCGAGGAGAGGGGTGATGGCAGTCTGGGAGGGGCGTCTGTCTCGTAGAGGGCTGTCAAGGAGGAGGCGATGATGGTCTGAGAGCAGGGCCGTCTCTAGAAATTTGGAGACCCGAGACAAGTTTGTCCTTTTCGAATTTCCAAATTTGAACTGGCGTCGTATTTAGGGCTATTTGGAGAATCATGGAAGAAAAAAAATTTATTAAACAAGACTATTAAATAAATAAATAATTAATTAAAAAAATAATAATTTTTCTTGTTTTTCTAGACCTTTTAATTGATATATTATCTATGTGTTACAAAGCTCTTCAATAAATTACAGTCAGACAACAAGGTGAAGAAAATAAAAACTATATCACTGCAAAGAATATTTATTCTCACACGATTGTTCTGACCGAACATCATAAGAAAACAAATGAAAAATTTAGGACCTCAATTTCCACACAAAGTACATATTTTGCCATTAGCTCATTCATTAATTAGTCACTTCATTTGTGTAATTGGTCAAGTCTATATTTAGCCATGAGTCATTTCATATATGCAAATAGGTCGAACCCAAACACAAATACATAATATTGAGAAAAAAATGAGGCCCTAAATATATGGGGAGGTCTTAGGCTGCCTCCCCAAAGAGTGTAAGGATACTATGAGATGCAAAGGTATGATTATCTAAATAGTTAGATGCCAAGAACTCGAAAGAACCGAAACATGCTCTTGAGGTCAAGGATCACAAGAAATAATTGTTGCGATTTTCCCGAGTTTTGTATCTATGTAATGTCAATATACCATAAGATATTCCTATATATACCACCACTAACAGTATACAAGAGTTGCTATTGTCTAGTAACATTTTTACATTCACTTAACCTAATAATCTGAAATTACAAATTTAGACTTTGAACAACTTATATTACTGATAAAACGTAGTTTATCCCTTACTCTCGGCCATGCTTAACGCGTAACGAGAATTGATGGAGACATTCATACTTGACTGAAGGTGTGAATACGTTGTTCTGTTTGACATTTGAAACTTAAAAGAGTGATGTGTGAAAACGCCTTCACAATTTGCGCAGAGAACACAGACAATTTGCGCAGAGAACACAGGTGCGTGTGGCACCAAGAGTGATCTTCTCCCCACTTATATATAAAGGGAAACAAAGCAAAAGCTGTACAAGACTACTATATATATATAGCCAGAGATCACACCAAATAGTCTTCACTTCAAAAGCCAAAACAACCGCCATTACTTTTCCCCCATTCCCCTTTTTTCACACTGTTTTTTTGTCTCACTACAAAAAGGCAAAGCCTCGCCCTGTGACCTGTGTAAACTGCTTCGGAATTTCTCTTCCTTCTCATTTTTCTGCTGTAAGTATTGGGTTCATCTCTCTCTTTCTCTCTCTGTTTTTGGGGGATTTTTTTTCATGACTGAGCTGATATATCTGAGTTATTGATACCTGTATGTATTTGGCATTGGTTATTTTGCATCTTGTATCTACAGTATCGCCGTCGTGTTGGGTCGTTTTGATTCTGGTCTGGTGTTTGTTAGTGTATATTTATGAAATAAAGATTCCATTTTTACCGGCGAGATTTTTGTGAATCTAAACAGAATCTTGACGTGGGTCGTTCTGGTTCTAATCAGGTGTAATAAAGGAGACGAATGTTCCGTCTCTCTTTTTTGTTTATTATTATTATTATTATTATTATTATTATTATTATTATTATTATTATTATTTTCTTTTGATGGAGCATGTGTAATTTTTAGGCAGGCACATTTGGAAGCTTATTAGTCAATGGTTGGGATATTTAACATTCTGTTTTTTGATAATTTTGAGTTTTTGACCTATGTCCTGTTTAAAGAGATTGCATCAGAGTATTTAAGTTGTACCCTTTTGGTTTTCTCTGTATATTGTCTAGCGCGCTTGATGTGTTTGTTCGTATCCATAATGATCGTAGCTCGTTTTTTCATCTCAATTGAAAGGAAGTGCAGAGAAGTTATTATGCTTACACAGCTAGCTCGGGCCGTAGAGTGATGAAAATGGAATCAAGTAGCATGATTTGGCTACCATTTTTTCTATTGCTGTTGGTGGATAACTGTGGAGTGGTGAGGTCAGCATCCAACTACTTAATCGGGCTGGGAAGCTATGACATCACAGGGCCAGCAGCTGATGTCAACATGATGGGTTATGCTAACACGGACCAGATTGCATCCGGTGTTCACTTCAGGTTACGAGCACGAACCTTCATTGTTGCTGAAAGACAAGGGAATAGGGTCGTTTTCGTAAATTTGGATGCTTGTATGGCTTCGCAGCTCGTGACAATAAAAGTCCTCGAGAGATTGAAAGCAAGGTAGTTCAGCTTGTATGGCTTATACTATAATAGCACTTTTTTCTTGATTGTATGGCTTATACTATAATAGCACTTTTTTTCTTGATTTTGATATTGAAGGTATGGAAATCTCTACACTGAAAGTAATGTTGCTATTAGTGGCATTCATACGCATGCTGGTCCGGGAGGTTACCTTCAATACATTGTGTACATTGTAACGTCCCTTGGTTTTGTTCGCCAATCTTTTGATGCTCTTGTTGATGGGATTGAGCAAAGCATAATACAAGCTCATGAAAACCTTCGACCAGGATCGATATATGTGAATACAGGTAAAAAAAAGAAATGGATATGACTTTTTGTTTTATGTCAGTTATGTCAAGTAGTGTTTTAAATTGGAAATATTAACCAAATTACTATCCAATTGATCTTCAATCCCCCTATCTTCATTACATTTGGAGGAACTGTCTTTTGCATTCGAGCTGTTTTAATGGTTTTCTAGACACTACTGTCTTGCAAAGTAAAAAAGTGCTTTTGTGTCGGTTGTTGTTATGCATCACCATTAGAACCAGTGTTTTAAATGGGAAATATTAACCGAATTACTATCTGATTGATCTTTCATTCATCTATCTTCAACTACATTTGGAGCTGTCTTTTGCATTTGAGCTGTTTTAATTGTTTTCTTGACACTACTGACTTGCAAGTTGCAAAGAAAAAAAGTGCTTTGCATCTGATATGGATTGTATGAACTTTATCATAGTGGTGAAAATGCTTTTTGTAGATCAAATTTTATGCATTTCTATATATCACCTTTGCTTCACTTACAAGTTGTTGCTAGCAAAACAACGAATTGAATTGCTGAAAACTTCAGTAGATAAAGTGGAAGCCGCCTCTTTGCTCGTAACAACAGCTAATTGACAAAAGCAATAAATAAAAATTCATAATAACGTACCAACATAATCTTAGCAAGTATAAACTCTACCTGAAATGGAGTTTTAAAATAATGTGCTCATAATCGTTTGTATTTGGAGCTAATCATGATAGTCTATTCGTTAAACTCTTTCGTATTCTTTACCAATAATATGGTCTCAATAACACAGGGGAGCTTTTGGATGCCGGTGTTAATCGCAGCCCGAGCGCTTATCTTAATAACCCATCTGCAGAACGTAGTAAATATAAGTATGATGTTGATAAAGATATGACCCTCTTGAAGTTCGTCGATGATGAATGGGGCCCAATAGGCAGCTTCAATTGGTTTGCTACGCACGGGACTTCGATGAGCCGTACAAATTCATTGGTAAGTGGAGATAATAAAGGAGCTGCGGCTCGATTTATGGAAGACTGGTTTGATAAGAACCATGGTGGATTCGGAAGCATTTCATTCAACAAAACTGAGCTCAATGAAATCCCCAGAAGAGTCTCGAACATAATACCAGTCGTTAAAGACAATTGTAAGTATGTAAGGACTTTTTTTTTTTCTTTTTTTTAATCTAAGTTGGCTGGCCTTTACAATGAGAACACTTGCTAATTACATTGATAAGGTTGATTTCAAGTAGTTGTACGGCTATGTTTGGTAACCAAATAAGCTATATAGCTTATTTGGTTGGTTAGATTATAAGCTTATTGTATTCAAATAAGCTTCAGTAGGACGAACTTTTTTAAAAAGCTCAAGCTTATCCAATAAGCTTCTTTGGGTAGCTTCTCAGATAAGCTCGTTGAAATTTTTATTTCAGCTAGCTTATCAGCTAATTTTACCAAACACTTTTATCACATAAGTTAGTTTTTCAACTATAAGTCATAAGCTATAAGCTCGAAAATCACTTATAAGCTATAAGCTAGCTTATCAGCTAGTTTTACCAAACATAGGCTGAGATAACATGAGATTTTAACTATGTTTTGGGATAACTACTGCGGAGTGTGTTAAACACCTTCTTGTACAATTTAGTTTTGTTTAGATGCCTGAAAAATATTCAACTCTCAATGCTTAGATGCTATGTTGGGTTATCTAATGCATGCAGATAATCAGTTACTCGAACTTGCTGCTTCTTTTAAGTCATCATCGGGGGAATCAACCACTAAGTTTAAAAGCCTTGAAGCACGTGTAAGAAGTGCCAACCGGCAGGCTAATAGAAGGCCAAGATTTGTATCAGCATTTTGTCAAACAAATTGTGGAGATGTGAGTCCTAATGTGATGGGCGCCTTCTGTTTAGACACGGGCTTACCTTGTGACTTCAATCATAGCACGTGTGGGGGAAAGAATGAGTTATGCTATGGCCGAGGACCTGGGTATGCATGTTGCTTTATTTATTTATTTATTTAATTTTTTTTCTGTTCTCATGTATGAGTAGAAGTTTTTTACTATCGATTATTTACTCGATAGGGATTGAAACTGAGTGTTTGACTTAGGCTATGTTTGGTAAACCTAGCTCATAAGCTATAAACTAGTTGATAGTTGATAAGTGAATTTGGAGCTTATAGTTGATAGCTTATGACTTATGGCTGAAAAAGCTAGCTTATATGATAAAAGTGTTTGGTAAAACTAGCTGATCAACTTATTTGAAAAACTACCCAAAGAAGTTATAAGCTCTAGCTTTTTATAAAAGCTTGTACTACCAAATGAAGCTTATTTGAATACAGGAAGCGTATAAGCTGACCAAATAAGCTATAAGTTAACTTATTTGGTTACCAAACATAGCCTTAAACACTCATCTCTCTCAATTGCTTGGTAGGTACCCCGATGAATTCGAAAGTACACGTATTATAGGAGAAGGACAATTCAGGAAAGCAGTGGAACTTTTCAATGGAGCCTCTGAGAAGTTAGATGGAAAGATCGATTTTCGCCATACGTTTGTTGATTTTTCTAAGCTCAATGTCTCGAAAGAAAGCGAGGTTGTAAAAACTTGTCCTGCATCAATGGGGTTTGCTTTTGCTGCTGGCACGACTGATGGACCCGGGGCTTTCGATTTCAAGCAAGGGGATGATAAAGTAATGCACGATCCATTTGGTTACATCATTCTTTTGTCTTTTCATCATTTTTTAGTTTCATTTTTTTTTTCTTTTGTCAGGGTAATAATCCATTTTGGAAACTCGTTCGCAACTTGCTTAAAACTCCGGATAAAGAACAAGTGGAATGTCAACATCCTAAGCCTATTCTGCTTGATACTGGCGAAATGAAGCAACCTTATGATTGGGCGGTAAGTTACAATTCTTTCAAAAAAAGGAAAAAAAAAGTGTGAATTTTTCTCCATAAGTAGTTGATTGTTAATTTAATTAACTTGTTTGCCTGAAACGCAAATGAATTTATTTACAGATAATAATTTGTAGATTTTCTCATCATATTTTAATTTGCTCTCCTTATCTTTTGAATTAACTAGCTAAGTCTGTGCATTGTGATTACAGTAAAAGAAGGCAGGTAAATGCAATATCTGGTTTTTTTATCTTCTACACCTCTTGTTAGGTCTCAGTTGCTTTTATAGTCAAGTGACTAATAAATTTAAATCTTTTTTCGCATGTTGATTATGTGAATTAAAATCACGGAAAATACTATTAATTCATTAATTATGCCTCCTATAATACTTTTCGAAGAATTCCACCCAGCCTAAGAGCCTAAAATATTATTTAAGCAGAAAAAAATACTTTTCATGTCATTTGGCCTTTACTCTGCTTCGCTGGAATTCTTTCGGTTATAATGTTATAGTTTCCTTTTTTCTGCACTACTGTTATTTCAGTTCACCAATTTTCGTTATAATATTTGTCTATTGTTCTCCTCTATTGTTCTCCTCAACTTTATTTTTCACCATATGGAGGATTTAATCAGTCCAAATTGCTGGTCTATTTTCTTTTCTGCATTTTGCAGCCTTCTATACTTCCAGTTCAGATTCTGAGGATAGGGCAGCTGATCATTCTTAGTGTGCCTGGAGGTACTTAGTATATATACATTTGTTTAAAATCTTGCATGTGCTAAAAGATTTGATTTTTATTAAAAGCTAGTGCTTATTTGAATATATTATGCATATATGTTTCGCTCTTATTAGAATTTGCTCAAGTTCCTACTTGGGATTAGTGCTGTTCAAAAAATCTGTGTCTTTATTAATTTATTTATTTATTTTTAACGTTTTACCGAATTTTAACTACTTTTACGACAAGGCACACTAGGAAAAGTTGAAGAATTTCCATACTTGGTAGATCTTATTTTATCACTTAATTTCGTTGTGTACCAGAATTTACCACAATGGCTGGAAGAAGACTGCGAAATGCTGTGAAAGAAGCTCTAATTAGTGGAGATAGCAAAATGTTAGGTAGCAATGTTCGTGTAGTTATAGCTGGCTTGACAAATACTTATTCGCAGTACGTGACAACTTTCGAAGAGTACCAAATTCAGAGATATGAGGTTAGTTTAGTTGCTTTTTCAGATTACTTTACGAGGATAAAACTGCACGAATTTCTCAACTTTCTTGGGACACGACGGACATATAATTGCTAAAAGGCCCAACAAATAGCAATTCAACAAAAGATTATCCTAGGTATCAAATGATAGTCTACTTAAAATATAGTCCTTACCTTAAATATTACCCTAATGGATATTCTGAAGAAATGAGTTTTTGTGATTATTTTTACTTTCTGTCATTGTACATTCCTCGGCAAATTCGTTTTAGTTTTGTTCTTCCGTTTATAAAATTCCTTTTGCCGACAAAGTTCCTTTTGCTGTTCATTTGACATTTTCAGTATGAAGCATCGTAAATTTATAATACAAACCGCGAAATTCTCGTGAAAAAACCGTATCTCAATTTAATTGCCATCTTAATTTTAACAATGTCCCGTTTCGTTTTACCTTAGCATACGTTAAACCGTAGCTGAACATCATAACTCTCTAGCCGGAATTTCTCCTTTCTATATAGAACCAACCAAATACATGCATTCATACATTTATAGGAAAAATTGGAGATTTAATCCTCTAACTTACACCAATTTGAGAAATTGTCTAGTGGTTGCGTTAATCTTACAAAACACCCTATGTGTAACTGCTAAAAAAAAAAAAAAACTGACTTTTGGTCCTTGATACGTTAGTCGGCTGCCACGTGTACGAAAAAACAAAAATGAAAAATAATATCCACGTCAGCAACCGGTCACAGTAATATTTATCAATTAGAGGTATCAGTTACATGACTAAATCTCCAATTTTTCCAGCATATATGTATACATACATATATACTCGTCTCGAAATCCGTAATATATGCAAAACCTCGTCTCCGACTCGTTTTTCCAGGGCGCCTCGACTCTGTACGGGCCCCACACTCTGAGCGGCTACATTCAGGAGTTCACGAAGCTTGCATCAGCGCTCGTCAGCGGGCAGCCCGTCGAGCGGGGCCCACAACCCCCCGATCTCTTGGACAAGCAGATCAGCCTCCTGACACCTGTCGTGGTCGACGCGACGCCACCTGGCGTGAACTTCGGTGACGTCAGCTCAGACGTGCCCGAAAATTCCACCTTCACGAGAGGTAATGATAATGTAACCGCCGTTTTCTGGTCAGCCTGCCCGAGGAACGACCTGCTGACCGAGGGCACGTTTGCATTGGTGGAGATGCTTAAAGGGAAGGACACTTGGCTGCCCGTTTATGATGACGATGATTTTTGCCTTCGGTTTAAATGGTCGAGACCTTCGAAACTTAGTCCACAGAGCCATGCGGCCATTGAGTGGTTAATACCACTAGAAGCTGAGCCGGGTGTTTATAGAATTACGCATTTTGGTGCTGCGAAGAGTATTTTGGGTTCGATCGAGCATTTTAAAGGCTTTTCCAGTGCTTTTGTGGTGGCATGACTTGAGATTTTTTTTTTTTTTGATTTTTTTTTTTTTTTTTTTTTTTTTTTGACTTACCCCTTAAGTTTACATCGTTTTTGGGTAAGTTTACATCGTTTTTTGTACCCAACGTTTTGTTCGTTAATCATGATAAGTTGAGTTTTGCCTGAAATGTTGAAAACTCACTGGAAGTTTTGAAGAAAAATTCAAATTCTAAGCTTTAACTGATGTTATATACAAAACCTGAAACTCCAGATTGATTTAAAGGGTTTCATATCCTATGAAGTATGATCAAGTGATGAACACATTGAAGTTGTCTCATTAATTTTTGACAAGCAGACTATCATAAAAATGTGAAACAGTGGAGGAAACTGTTTGAAAACATATATAATTAACCTTTAAAGTACCACTTATTTAAAAAGAAAACTGTGCACCGAGCTTTTAGTAGTTTATGGGGGTGGATGAACAAAAACACATCACTTACATATTCATATTGCAATGAAAATAATTTGTATGGCTGGTTAAAAAAGTTTGATGGTAAATATTTGTTTACTTGTTTTTAATGTAAAATGTATATAATTGTAAACCAGCTCGACCCAAGCTTTTATTGAGTCGAACTTAGTCAAGTCCAGATCGAGTTTTAAAAGTCGTTTACGAAAGAGCTGAGTGTGAAATTCTATTATTCTAATACTTAAACTCGACTCAAGTTTTTATTAAGTCGATCTTAATCAAGTCAGAATCGGAGTCTTAATAGTCGACGTTCACAGAAGAGTTGAGTGCGAAATTCTAATATTTTAGCTCGACCATGGGTTTTTATGAGTCGAAATCAAGTCGGGTCGAAGCCTCAATAGACGTTTACAAAAGTACGGAGTTTGAAAATCTAATACTTCATCTCGACTCAAGCTTTTATTGAGCGGAACTAAGTCAAGTCGGGAACAGAGCTTTAATATGCATTTACGAAATAATTGAGTTCGAAATTCCAATACAACAACTTGACTCAAGCTTTTATTGAGTCGACCTAAGTCAGGTTGGGATTGGAGATATAATAAGCGTTTACAAAAGAGTTGAGCTTCAACCCAACCCAAGCTTTTATTGAGTCGAACTAAGTCAAATCAAAATCTAAGAAGCGTTCATAAAAGAATTGAGTTCGAAATTCTAATACTATAGCTTGCCTCGAGCTTTTATTGAGCCGAACTAAATCACGTCGATATCGGGACGTTAATAAATAGTTATGGATGAGTTGAGTTCGAAATTCTAATACTTCAACTCGACTCAATAAAAGTTTGAGTCGAGCTAAGTCAAGTCAAAATCAGAGCTTTACTAAGCGTTTACAAAAAAGTTGAGCTCGAAATTCTAATACTTCATCTCGACTCAAATTTTTATTGAGTTGAACTAAATCAAGGTGGGATCGGGGCTTAAATAAACGTTTATGAATGAGTTGAGTTAGAAATTCTAATACTTCAGCTCGACTCAAACTTCTATTGAATCGTACTAAGAGCATCTCCAACCATGCCTGTAAACCTGCAGGAAACGGCACAGGTGGAGGAAAAGCATCTCCAACGGGCTCTCTTCATTTGCCGGAAACGCCACGCTATGATTTGTGGAACGGTTTGGCAACCGTTCCACTGTTCACCCGCTTTAGTTTTTTTTTTTTTTTTTTTTTTTTTTTTTTGGTTAAATATGAAATTGGGTTGGGCTTTTTCGTAAAGAATTTGTGATGATGGTTATATTTTTCCTCTGTATCTAGGAAATGAAGATGGAGAGGGCGACTCTGGTTTTCGTGAAATTTTTGTGATGGCAATTGTAATTGTGATGATGATTATTAAATTAATTTCGTAAAGAATATGATTAATTCATATTTTTGTTAAATATGAAATTATGGTTAGGCTTTTTTAACTACAATTGGACTAATTGAATTAATTAATTTTATGAGTTGAATTACAATATTTTTATAAATATTTTAAATTTAATTATTGTAATTAATATGGTAGAATATGCTTGGAATATTCGTTTAGAGAGAATTATAGAGGAATGGGTTGGAGTTGCTGGCACTGTTGAAACTGTAAAACTAGTGGAATTTTACTGTAGAAACTGTATAGATAGATAACATGGTTGGAGATGCTCTAAGTGAAGTCAGGATCGAAGCTTTTATAAGCATTTACGGAAGAGTTAGAGTTTGGAATTCTAATACCAATTTCTCTCAAAATTTTCTGAATCGAACTAAGTGAAATGGATACGAAGCCTTGAATAATGCGAGTCGAGCCAAACTCATGGTAACTCGTTTGGTTCACCTCTCACACGTCCACTAACAAGTCCACGACCAGGCCAGTTAACAAAGTATAAGCGTATAACCCTAACTAAGCTCTTTTGCTTTCAGTCGCACCTCTCTACTTCATAAATTTCACAATCCTTGAGACTTTTGTGTTTTTCTTCTTTTTCTTTTTTTTTTTTTCTGAGACTATTTGCCACCATCATCATACCACAGCGGTTTGGGCTAGGATATTCAGGCAGCTTCATGTGTTGGAGGGTTTTTTCGCCCAATTTCTTCCCCTTTTAGCCGACGGCTTGGGGTTTCTCTCTTTCTCTTGCACTCGATCTTTCTTTTCTTGCTCAGTTCTGATTCTTGCTTGTTCTTCTCCGCCGGTTGTCATCCATTCTCTTGTTTTTCGGCCTCGAACTTTGGCAGCTGCAGGCTTCTCGTTTATTCCTTGACACGATCGGCTGTGACTTAGTGGAGTTAGGGCAACTATCTCGTTTCTTGTCGATTTGATTATAATCGAAGAGAAGTGGTGAGTAAAATTTCTTTCGAGATAAATCATGTGCATCATGCACTGTGATTACATATGAATTTGTGCTTTTAGAGAAAAATCATGTTAATTGGGTGAAGTTTGCTAGTACACATAAACATTTAGTGTATATGTGGGCAATGTTGTTCTTGAATGAAGATAAACCGAACTCATTGATAAAAGATGAGATGCTTGTTGATAGGCTACTTTATTAAGTTACAAAACTATAAATGAATAAAATAGGGAGAAATTGTAATTTTGAAATGAAGAAAGTTGGATCTGATTTCTGCATTTTTTCTGTTCAATCAGTGCTTTTTGCCTGTTTATGGAACCTTTAACATTCTTATATCCCCCTTTGTTGTGGGTTTCTTCACAAAGATGATAGTCATTCGTCGTATCTTTATATTGATGCAAGGATTGGTGCAATATTCATTTCGTCGAAAACAATATGTATAAAATAAGAAGACTGCAGTAAGCATGATTGGTATCAAATTTTGCAGCATTGCTTGGATTTTGATACATATTCACTTTCCTAAAATCCTTAGCTTTCTTCACTGTCTTCACGAAAGTCGGAGATATATATCTTGACATTTTCTAGAATCTAAGTGCTGTGTGTGGGACCTACATCTAGAGTCTCGTTCCTAGTGGTCGAACAGTTCTGGAATTTTGTCTTAGATATGTGAATCTTGGGATTTAATGGAATTTCGTGAGATCATTAAAAAAATCTCTACTTGATAATTTTCTCAATATAACGGGTCTATTTATCTGATGCAGCTAGCAGTTTTGTCTCGCATTCATCTTTTATGCTTGAGACGATATGGGTTTCGATATAGAATGCATAATCGACATTCAAACTTATCCCGGGGAATACTTCTGTCCTGTTTGCCGTACACTTGTGTATCCAAGTGAAGCATTTCAAACCCGATGTCGTCACCTGTACTGCAAACCGTGCTTGGAATACATTGCCAATGGCAGTAAGACCTGCCCTTATGATGAATTTCTGGTGACCGAGTCGGATTCTAAGGTCGTACGATTGAATAGTTGTAGTTCTGCCTTTAATAATACTTAGGTCTCATTTCTCAGATTTTTCTGTAACATTTTTTGACAGCCATTAATGGATTCCGATAAAGCACTAGCTGAAAATGTCGGCAAAGTTAAGGTCCGATGTCTCTACTTCCGGAGTGGATGCCCATGGGAGGGGCCTCTCTCTGACTGCACAGCCCATTGTTCTGGCTGTACGTTTGGAAACTCACCTGTAATATGCAACACATGTGGTATACAAATCGTGCATCGTCAAGTACACGATCATGCTAAGAGTTGTCTCGTGAGTGAATCAAATGTCTTACTTTTCTTATCGAAGAGATGAAAAAAAAAATGTATTTTTATTTCTTAGATATTTTAAATTTGAATCTCAGGGAACACACGAAGGGCAACAAGCAGCTGGAGATGTTTCTTCTGTTGCTAAATCAGGAACATCCTCATCTTCTACTGTTGCAAATCAGGCTGTTGTTCAATCTGGGGCTTCAGTTTCCCAGGCCCAGAATCCCCAAAATGCCCCTGCTGCTACTCCTTTGCCTGGGCAAAACAACGTTCAGCCTCAGGGAAGTGCTGCCTTTCAGTCCCCAGCTGTTGCTCCTGTTGCTGCCGTGCCTACACACGAGCAGTGGTATCAACAACAATATCAGCAGTATTATCAGCAATATCCAGGGTATGACCCTTATCAACAGTCCAATCAGCAGTATTATTCTCTTCAGCAGCAACAGCCCGTTCAGCAGTACCAGCAGCATCCGGCTCAAGTTCATGGTCAGTACCAATCTCATGTATACACTACTCAGCCCCAGCAACAGTCATATCCTGTTCCTCAGGCCCCTCAACAGCCTTATACCCCACAAGCCCAAGCTCAAGCCCAAGCCCAAGCCCAAGCCCAAGCCCAAGCTCAAGCTCAAGCTCAAGCTCAAGCTCAAGCTCATACATTTCCTCAAACTCAGCCCAATGTGGCAGTTCAATCTCAGGGCCAGGCCCAGGGCCAGTTATATGCGCCTCCGAATCAAACTTCCGTTCCGAACTATCAAACCAATCCGCAGCAACAAACTCATCCTCAATTTCGGCCCCACACTCAGATTCCCACACAGACACTACCACCACCTCCTCAGATTCAGCCCACTCACCCACAACAGCCATATGGGCCTCCGAATCAAACTGTCGGTTTGCGGCCCACTGCCCAACATAATCAATACCAGCAACCTCCAGTGCAGATGCATTATCCTCAACCTTCTCAACCACATTCGCAACAACCTCAAATGCAGTCCCAAACCCAAGCACAGGTCCTAACACAACATCCCCAATCTACAAGCCAGTTGCATGGTCAAATCCAACCACAAGCACAACCTTATCTTACTCAGTCCCAACCTCCTGTTTACCCTCAAGTCAACAACCAGTCAGCTCCAGTTGCCCTGCCACAGGCTCCTCATCAGCCAGTTCCTCCTGTTAGTGGGCACCAGTCCTATATAAATCCTCAGCTTCCCCAAAAGATGCATGCAGGAGCCCCACAGCAACACCCGATGAACCCACAGTCTGCAAGTGGTTCACAACATCCAGTTCAATTACATGGTCAAATACCACAACAACATGCACAGATGCAGCCGCCTATTCATGGATCAGTGCCCCAACATCCGTCAACATTGTTGGCACCACAAAATCAGCAGTTTCCACCTTATCCCCAACATCGTCATGTCACGCAGCCAGCTGTACAACCGATGCCTCAGAATTACACTCAACAGCAGCAGCCCTTGTTTTCTCATCAGACGGGACATCTTATGCCACAACAGTCCATGCAAATGCAGATGCACCCATCAGGTCCTCCTCCTCCTGGCCCGCAACCTCAAAATTTTGTTGGGAGGCCACTAATGCCAAACCAGGGGATACATTCTCAAAACCATCCTTATCCGTCCAATCAGGTTGGTGCCTCAAATCACCCTGGACCTGCTCAACTCGCTTCAGCGCAGGCTCCTTTAAATCAGAATTATGCAAAATCTACTGTGTTGGAGCCAAATTCTACTACCCAAGAAATTATATCCGCGTCGAAGGTAGTGGTTGAAAAGGTAGGTGAGCTCCTGAATGAGGAAAAAGTAGTCGCTGGGCAAAATGGGGCTGTTGTCAAGGACACAGAGAGTGATGCAGGTGTAAATAAGTCTATTAAGCAAAATGAGAGTCATGTTCAGGGTGCAGTGGAGCAAGCATCTGATGGGAAATCCTTTGAAGATGGAGCTGGAGAAGTTGGGTTGAAGAAAGAGGGGAAAGAATCTGAATCGTTGAAACAAATGGACCTTGAGAATCAGAAGTCGATGTCGGCAAATGAAGTTGCTACAGGTCCATCCTCAACCAACTTGGATGAGCAACCTCACACTGCTTTGCCTGCATCTGGTGCGGAAGGGCATGTATTACCCCCTCATGCTCATTGTTCCCAACAGCAAAGGCCTCAAGGTCCAGGGATTTTGTCTCATCCTGGGCAATCTCTTCTCTCGACTGAAGAAAGGGTGTCTGGTAATTTTGGCCCTCCTAATAGCTTTAAACGTCAGCCTGATCCGCAAGGACCTGGACTTACTGATCAACGAGGGATCATGGGAAGAGCGCCACCACTACATTTTGAGGGTTATGGTGGTGCACGTGAGGGGGCTGTTTTTTCTAAAACTCGTGCAGATGAGTTAAGTTCGTTCAGAATGGATGGGTATGCAGCTGCCGACCCGTCCATTTCTCGATCTAGGGATGAACAGAAGGCCTTATCGAGAGAACCTTTGAATCCATTTCCGAGGGAACCAATGCACAATGTTGATCCAGGTGATGTCAACTGGAACCATTCTAAGTTCCTCCCTGTTCTTTACTTTTTCTGTCCTTTCCTTCTTTCTAATCATAACTGATTTATTTATGATTTTACGTTAAATCATAAACACAGCTGCAAGGTCTTTCGATAAAACAGCACCCCGTGGACCAATGTATGATGCTGTGCCAAATTTTGGTCCTTTTGCTATAGGTCCACACTCAGGAAACTACCCACATCGTCCACCTGGCGTCCATGGCCATGCAGATGTTTTTGGACCAGGCCATGAATTTGACCAACATCGCATGAATCATTTTTCTCGTGGAAGTCCTCATAGAAATTATCGTGGCTCTTCTCCACATGGATTTGGTGGCCGCTCCAGTTTCCCTCGTGGTACCTCAGGTTTTGATGATACAAAATTCAGGGAAGCACGCAGGTTTGGTGAGGGATCCCAACCTTTCAACCATCCTTCTGATCCAGCTGGTATTCCATTTCATGATGGTCGAATTCCACCCATGTCTGGTCCAATGCGAAGAGGCGACCTTGATGGCCCAAGAAATCCTAGGTTTGGTGAGCATGTGGCGCCTGGCCAACATCACAATCAAATGGGGAATGATGATGGTTTTGGGCCAGATGGGCCTGGCCATCAAATGAGGGGCAAATTTTCTGGCTCAGGTTTTATACCTGGTCACTTCCATATGAATGATCCTACTGGACCTGGTGCGTTCTCTGGTCGTGGACATGCAGGAGAGTTTGGTGGTCCTGGGAATTTTCCCCGTCTTCCTTTCAATGAATCTGTTAGAGGTGGCAGTCCGAACTTTTCTCGTTTTGGCGAGCCTCCCATGATGAACAACTATTCTGGATTCCATGGTGGTGGAAGTTTTACAGTATGCAGCTTAACATTCTCGAATTCCCCTTTTTATCTATATGGGGCTCAGTCTCTTTTATGATTTCTTAGGTGTTATGCCAATTTTTATCCTCATGCATCTCAGAATTCCAAATACCATATTTGCTTGTACTTTTTACAGGGTGGCATGGATTCGTTTGACCACTCTAGGAAGAGGAAGCCTATAAGCTGTGGGTGGTGCCGAATCTGTGAGATTGATTGTGAATCACTGGAAGGGTTGGACTTGCATTCGCAGACGAGGGAACACCAGAATATGGCCATGGATATAGTCAAAAGAATCAAGCTGCAAAACAAAAGGCATCAGAGGTGAGTAATTACCTAATTATGTGGTAACATTATTATGCAAGGTGCTATCGTCATTGTCGTTATCGCATTACAGAAATAATGCTGGCCGTAAGATGAATGAAGGTGGAAGCAGGAGTAGGAGGATGGGCATGGTTGGCCGTGGAAGCAAGCCCTGAGCCTGTTAGATGCTGATAGGAAATCCAGCTCTGGTATTTACTCGAGTTGCAATTTTTCTAATTTTCTTACCTGGTCATTATCCTTCAAAACTCATAGTTTGGCTTATACTGGTTTTGTCCTTTCAGGATGCTGCCTTTCTGATGGGAAACAGTTTTCGAAGTGAAGTTTTTTGACAGTTAGGTTTGTTAATTTATGACTTTGAGCATCCTGCATTCTGATGGATTATCTATTATGTTAACTAGACTGTATTGCTCTTAATCTTTGTTTACTTTTATGGAAGAATTATGCTGTGCTTATTTCTTGCTTTTGCTTTTCTATTTGTGTTATGGGTTCTAAACACAAACATGGTCTGAATGGATTACTTCTCTCTTATCTTCTGGGTCAATGGTCATTGCTGCAACTTACACATAAAGATTATAGATTCTTGTTCCCACTTTTGGTTTGCAAACCTTAAAAAATTAAAATGTTGTGTTTGGAAATTGATAATCCAATTGGTGTTCTAAATTATAAGCTTCTCACTTATATGTTTTGGATAGTGATTGGGAGATGATGATAAATCTTGTGTGTATAACCCAAGTTGAATTAAAATTTTATGAAGTGACTAAGGCGACAATAGAAAAAAAAAAGTTTAGATAATTTGGTGTCCTCCGAACAATAGGGATGGAAAGTGGAAAAAAATTGATAAATTTATTTTTGGAATTGCGTTGGTGGGATTAGGGAGATAAAGTGAGGTAGAATGAACTGCATTTTCTATACATTTTGTTTTAGTTTTTTGTGCATCCATTCACAATTTCAGTGAGATAAATCTTCTCCAACCAAATGAAAATGAAAAAAATTTAGACCAATCGCCACCTTAATTTTGAAGGCG